CTTGAGGCTGTGCCGCGGCGTGGGAAAGCGCCTCAGAGAGGGTTTGCTCTGCCGCCGGTGCGGAGCCGAGCCAAGCCGAGAGGAGCCGAGCCGGTGCCCCCCCTCCCCGGATTTATTTAACTCTGCCTCCACCCCGGCTATAAGCTGCGCCGCGTCCTGCGCCCGCGATGAAGCGACCTTGCGAAGAAACTACCTCAGACAGCGACATGGACGAGACGATAGACGTGGGGAGTGAGAACAACTACTCGGGGTAAGTGGGGCGGCCCCGGGATGGGGCGCAGCGGGGCCCAGGATGCACCCCGGGATGGGGCAGAGCGAGGGGGAAGCCCGGCCCTCTGAGTGCAAAGCGGGGTGCGGTTTTGTTCCACTTCAGGTCAACGAGCAGCTTGTTAATATACCCCCAAGAATTTGCCCCGCGGCCTCAAAATTTTGTGGCGCTTGTGAGCCACTCGGCTGCAGTTCATTAGCTCCGCTTAATTTGCCATTTTCAATCAGATCTTTTCCAAAAGTGCTCCTGAGCAGGCCGAGCAACCTAAGGGAATCGGCGCCAGTGGGAAACGAGCTGTGGAAAATTAGCAGCAGATCCACAGCAGTTGAACGGTGCCTTCAGCAAACCCCGTGTGCAAGCCGAGGGTGAGCCGTGGTGATCGTGAAGGACAGACAGATGGGGGGGCTCCTCAAGGTCATCAGAGGTGGCCTTGGCAACTTAAAGGCCCATGCACCGGAGCACTGTCTCGGCCATATCAGTGGCTAAATGAGTAATTAAAAGCTACTGGGATTTTTTCACTCGCTCATGATGAAATAAAAGTCTTTTCATACTCATGGGTAATGCAGTTTTAAAAGTGGATTTTGAATTTGCTTCAGGTGTGAGCCAACTCAACAGACCTGGGCTTGGCAGCTGGCTTTGTGCTTGAGCATCTGTTGACTCAGGTAGCAATGGGCAGGGATGTCAAAACCTAGCAGGCCAGGTGGAGTTTGTGGTACAGGATACATGTACTTGCCACTGCTGCTAGCATATAGAGACGGTTTGCATGGTTTTGGACTCGGTTCTTCAGCCTGTGTTTGGTAGGCAGAGCTCTACATGGGATAAAAATTAAGTCAGCTGAACTGGGCAGTGAGCTGTTTCCACACTCACTTCCAACAGAGTGTTCTGTCAATTCGAAAGCCGTGCTGGAGCAATCAAAAATGAAGTATCTGTCTCTCTTTAAGTACTGTGCAGTGCAAACCACATCTAAGCACTGAAAATGGCATGAAGGGGCCTACCCATACTTAATATGATGGCCCAAAGTGTCTTCAAGGAGGGGTGTCAAGTTGTGCAACACCTGACATACTTTTATTATTTCACAGGCAAAGTAATAGTTCTGTCATTCGATCAAATTCCCCCACAACAACATCTCAGATTATGGCCAGAAAGAAAAGAAGAGGGGTATGTCGCCTTTAATTCTTTTCTGATGTGATAATTTGCATGTGTGCTGTGATTTTGCCCTTCAAAATGTTTTCTAAACTGAGTGTGTTTTGTTTTTTTGGGAACAGATAATAGAGAAAAGGCGCCGTGATCGTATAAATAACAGTTTATCAGAGCTGAGGCGGCTTGTGCCAACTGCTTTTGAAAAACAAGTAAGCCCTTTTTTTTTTTTTTTTTTAATTCTGTATCTCATCTGGCAATGTTACTTCTCTTGTAAAACTCATTAAAATAACATTGTATGTGTCCTGATCTGGCACAAAGCAGGCATTTCAATGAAATGCTTTCTTGTGGCGAAACTATTAGAAACATAATTCATTATAGAGCTGAAAAACATTTCCATTCTTTGGCTTGTTTTTCCCTTAAGGGTAACTGTGTTTGTGTTGCCTCTGTTCTTTTGATGAATTCCAGTAGTGGTTTTGTTAAAAATCTGCTTTACTCTATATTTAAAAAAAAAAATAAAAATCCCAAACCCTGCACAACTCCTCCAAACCTGTATGTCAATTAGCCCTCTGTTTAAATCTTGAAATATAATCTCCTTTGCCCCTGCTTTAAGAAACCTTTTTTTTAAATCTGTAATTTCAATTTGCAAATTAATCAATCCATTTTCCTGAAATGGGAACAGGCAGTGTGGATCATTCACGTTTTAAAATGACTCTTTAGAACCAATGCATTAGGAAGGGGAATAGGCCCATGTCATCTGAGCTAGTCAGTGATATCTTCAAAGATACTCAGTGGGAAGGCTGGAAGGATCCAGCTAACTTTGGTTCATGTAACTTTGGAGCAGCTCCTCAGTCACAAAATTACTGATGAAAAGCTTAAAATACGATCTGTCCTGGAAAAAGGGCATTTTGTTTATGCCATTCAAATTAAATTACTACTTTCCATATCTTGATTTCAATTTTTTAGGATTTGATTCAATATTTAGCCTTGTTCCTGTTTTACTGAAGGTATCTGAAGATCTGTGGATATGTGCAATTTATGCTGTTTCAGTAAAAAGGAACTGACTGAACATAAAGAATGCAAATACTAAAATAAAAATAAACAGAAAGTAAAATTTGAGAGCAGGACTGAGAGGTGCTGAATGTCAGTGGCAACTTCGTGGCAAGCACCGCACCGTAGTAGGCCTGTTACATCCCTGGTCTGAACAAAAGGAAAAAAGAATTTTTAAGTATTGTAGTCATGGTGAGAGCATCACTTGTGCCACCTGCAATACAGTTTTAATAACTGCTAGTTTTAACTGCGCCCTTCCATAGGTTCTGGCAAAACAGAATGACAGAGGTATCTTCAGCTGGATCAACAGGGGCAAGAGACAACAGTTGTTTGTCCCATTTTATTGTTTACTTCTTGAAAACCACAAACATTATAAAACAAGTCCTACGGAGCCTTTGGAAATTACCCAGCGCCATGCAGTTTTTAGCTATTAGTCACTCTCACTGAGACAGCTTGTGCTGTGTCTATGGAAAAGATGAAGTCTGGGAAAACGACAGGATATAGTTGCATGTAAAATGGGGAGTTCTGACCAAAAATTCACACGCACACCAACCTTTTATGAGGAAAGCACCGAAAGCAGTAAGTGTATTGACAAAAACTTATTGGTGTAAAAATGAGCGCGTGCTATATTTTGTTCAGAAAACCCCACCATTCTTCTGCAGTATGCCAAGGACAAGCTCGTCAGTCCTTTTCCAGCTCCTTGACATTCAGCTCACTGAAGTTTCCAAGTTGGAGGTTTAGTTTCGCTTCCGCCTGCCTCCCTCTCTTCTTCTCTCTCTCCCTCCTTCCCTCCCTCCTTCCTCCCCTCCTTCCCCAGCTCTGCTCTCCAGAGTCCCTCACAGGGGGGCTGCAGAGGAGGGTGTGAGTCTTAACTCACTTGAAGTGTGCAACCTGGCCGAAGCTGGCTGAGGCTGCAGGAGGGCCAGCAGCAATGAGCTGGCCTGGATAATAACTAAGAAAAATTTGGCTTGCAGGATGCTATCCACCAGTGACTGCAGCTTGTGCGGCCCTGGTTTTAACTGGTGCCAAGGATGATCTCTTGCACTGGAATAACATTTGCATGGTAAACTCAAGTCTGGGTGTGCTCCAGATATTGAAAGGAATGCTACCATACAAAATAGTTTTATTTATGGATTAATATATTAATACTACCTTTTGAGTTGTATTTTATACTTTTCCAGCGCCTGTCGTAGCTCTGTGAGCCATTCTCAGGAACAGAAAAGATTGACAGAGTAGCTAAACTCTTTTCTTTTTCACAGCATTTAGCTTCATGTCCCTGCAAACAAGGCCTCTCACTAACTCAAAATACTGAGGGCTGTGTGGTGTTTTTTTCAGTGGAGAATGAGAATAGAATATTCAGCAGCCAAATGACATGTCGAAAATTAACAAGCTATTAAGAAAGAGAGATACTTCTGGGTGTGTGTCCACAGGGACACCTACTGGTAGAAGCTAAAAAAAAAAAATAAAAATGTCCTGCCAGCTCTCCCATTTGTATGTGTTATTAAAAAGAAAGTCCAGAAAGTTATGTATTTCTCTCATTTCATGAAGATGTCATCTCTATACTATTTTCAAGGCCAGACCTGTGCTGAGCTATAGCCTTAATAAAGCAAAATTATGCTGCTGCTTGTATTGCTAGAGATGAGACAGCGTTAGTCCTTAGAGAAAGTCTGCAAGGCAGATGCTCACAGAAGAATTAAGCTGAGAATGTCCTAATGATAGGGGAAATTGAAACCATAAGGCTGAGCTCAGTGGAAACTATATCAAATTAAAGTTTCTAGTACTTATAAGCCTTTATTTATGTGAGTATCTTATCTCAAAGGGATCTGCCAAATTAGAAAAAGCGGAAATACTGCAAATGACAGTGGATCATCTGAAGATGCTGCAGGCAACTGGAGGCAAAGGTAAGGAGCTGACAGTTTATTTTCTAATATTTGGGGAAATCTCAGAAAAAAAGTGCTTTGAGGAGCTGTGATAGGCGTTTCCAGATTAAAGGAGTGGAAATCAATGCTAATGGCAGGATTGAACTCGTGGGAAAGAACTACTGGGACAAAAGAAGCACTTGACCCTGGGCTTGTGTTTGCTTTCATAACACTGTGGGAGTAAAGGCTTCATTCACAGGCAGCCCAGTCAGAGATTTGTTTGGGGTTTCCAGAGAGCACTGAAATCTGCACAGGGAGACAAAACAAATACACAAACACCAAACATAAACAGGAGGTTTGTGGCAACTATTGTGTAGCACAAAACCAAGGCTAAACCTAATTATCCAGGAGCTATACCGAAGGAAGTGGAGGGAGAGGAACTTTCATTATTGTTTATTTTCTTTGTTCTGGAATGACTTTTAAACGCCAGGTTAGACTGTCTCATTCACCAGAACAAAACCCAGCCTTGCTCTGTGCAGCTCCAGGTATCTGATCAAGCAGCCAGGCGGAGGGCTAGCAGTGTGTCAGATGTCTGGGCAGCTCCCTGGGAGCAGGTGCTGGCATGACGCAGGGGCTGTGCTGGCTGACCCACTAGATCAGCCGACTGCCGGGAGGCGAGCGTACCTCGTTTGTGCAAGCTGACAGGCCCAAGGCTGGAGGCCAAACGATTTCAGCCACCCACGAGTTATTCTGTGTAGTCATGGTTTTGGAACTTATTTGGAGGGAAGAACTTGCTGGTCTCCTGTGAGCACGGTCCCACATCCCGTACCATCCACCGCGGCTGTGGTTCTAATTGGCACAATGGAAACCAGCCGATCTTTCATTGCCCCATTCTGCCACCTAGGTAAGGGCTAGGAAAGGGGTAGCTGCTGCTCTCTCTCTTCCTTTTTTCACTAAACTCAAATGTTTTTAGCCTGTGACTGAATTACTGCTCCTCTCTGTACTTTACAGTGACTACAGAACTCAATTTATAATCAGTGCGTGCTTAGCAACAGATGGGTATAGAAGAGTGTGCTGAAGGCTGGTGTTCTGTTATTTGTGGAAATTAACACCAAGCTGACCTGCCTATTTTCTAGGTGTTAAGAGGTGTATTTTCTAGGTGCTAGGAGTCCATTTAAGCTTAAAATTTATGGCCTGCCTCTCGCTTCCTCAGAAAAATGTGCAAAATTTAAAAAAGAAGTTAATTTTTCTGTGAAAAACAGCCTTTAAAAAGCACTGTTTAGTTGGTAAAGCAGCGCTCTTGAAAGTTACGAAACACCAGAATTGATCATGCTTGTGCAATCTGAATTCAGATCCTCTGTGCGTGTGTGATGGTGCCGTCTTTAATTACGTGGTTGCGTGCTGGCTTTCCACAAGCTCTGTCTCACTTGGTGCATGGGGCGACCAGAGCTCAGCTGCTGGGGGAAGTGGTGGTTCTTTCACTTCATCCTCCCCATGCAATGTGCAGCTCGGCTGTCCCGGCCAGGGCGCTGCTTCAGGCAGCACTTCGTTCCTCTGAGAAGCTGCAGCAGCTCCAATGTCTGTGCTGACAGCGGGAGGGCCAGGAGGTGTTCCCAGTCAGAGGCCTAATTTAACAGGAACCCTACTTCCTTGCCTCCCCACCCCAAAAAAATATGTCAGGGATTATTTTATAACTGTGTCAGGTCAGGTGGCCTGGCTAGTGGGGCAGGGGACAAACGGATGGGAGGGGAGCTGCCAGGCGGGAAAGGGAGTCGTCAGAGCCCCAGTCATCAGCTGCGGCCGGACAAGGCAGGTTTTGTTAGTGGTCCCAGATCTTGAGGTCTCTTCCGTGGTCTGCCACCGCTGCTGTGCCTCTCCCTGCTCCAGCTGGCACCGGTGTGGGGAGGGACCAAGTGTCAGGGTTGCAGGGAGTGGTGATGCAGGCTTGTACCCTCAGCCGCCTTCCACGCCGTGATCTGTCTGTAGTGGGGTGGCACATCGGTATAATACCCAATCACTTCACAAGTGCTACAACTTTATCTTCTCCTTCTGACCCAGAGATAAGTGTAATCTCACTGCATGGATTAAGAAATTTTCAGAAAAAGAGTACTTGCAAGTCAGTACCGGGCAAAGTTTAAGCCTGCGTTTCCTGCTTGCTTAATGTTTTACTTTGCAACCTAAGTAACAACTTTAAATATAATTTCTTAGGGTGTTTTTATGGCAGATGTTTGTTTTATTTGTAAGTGTAGTTATTCCCACTTTGTAACTCACCTTCCGAGGCAGAAGCTTTTTTTACATCATCAAAATAAAAGAGTTCTGTGATTTTTCCTATGGACAAAAGCTGTTAGCACAGCAGGGAGAAACAGGTCCTGATACCCTTATGCTCCCTCCACCTTGGTCTGGGGAGAGCTCATCCTCTTCCTCTTCATGCAGAAATGCAGAACACTCACAATGGGAAATGCCCAGGGGCTAGGCAAGCCGGGGTGGAGTTGGCCACTGCTTAGTGTGGGGAGCCCAAGGCGGTCACAGCTGAAGAAAACACGATGTGGCTCCTGTCCCTTCTCTGCTTTTCAGAGCTACCCAGGCAGGCAGGCTGCTGCCTCTCAGGTCCTGTGCAGACTGTGTTTCTGCTGCTGTGGTGCAGGTGTGGTGATGGTCTCCTGTTCACATTGAGTTACTACTTTGGCCTGGGGCCAGGGCTTTTTGCTGACCACACAAGCAAGCACAGGGGAGGAGTAATTTGTCAACAGGGAGTCGCTTGCTGGGACCTTGGTGTGGTTTTATTGCCGCTTCACTGCAAATTTGGCTTAAGTGACTGACACCTGGGTGAGCAGGGTTCTTACAGCTCAGATGACTTAGCCAGCGTCCTGCGTGCAGAGCAGGTGCGTCACGAGGATAGCTGAAGTAAAACCAAGACTTCCTACTACAAAACATTGGCATGTACGTGTGTGGCTCATAGTGGGGGATGTTGTTGGGTTTTGGAAAGAAACGAGTAACAACATTTTTAAGTCTGTCTCAGAAGGGGGAAGCCACCAAAGGGGAAACCTGGGAAAGATAACCATCAAAATCAAAACATAATGGAGCCCAAGAATACCAGCTCTCATCTCCCTTCTGTTTTCATGTCTCGGCCACCATAGGAGACTGAGAGTGAGCCAGGATCACCAGGGCCTTGGGACAGCTCATCACAGAGCCAGCAGCTCAGACTCAGGGGAAGCTGGCGACAACCACATCCCCCACATCTCCTCTGGTCTGGAGGGAGGGAAGCCGGGAAGCCCTGGCTTGAGCTGTGTGCTCCCAGGACTCCCAGGCTGGCTGACTCACAGCCAGAGCCGGGAGGCGGCTTTGGCTGCACGTCAGCCCTTGTGAAGCTGCCGGAGGTCCTGGAGCCTCTGGTGTGGAGGCAGTGCCCATGCCAGGCGGGCTGGCACCCGAGCAGGTACCCTGCTGGCTTGCCACTGCCGGCCTTCCTGCCGTTTGTTTCTCAGGAGTTCACTCGGACCGTGGCGCTTCCACAGATCGCTTGGTTGCAGAGGACCTGGCAGGAAAAAGGTTGCAAGGAGTCAGCGCTTGTTGAGACAAGCCTTTGATGCCTCGTGCTCCCCAGTCTGCTGGCCCAGCCGGTGTTCCTCTGGGCTTTCCACAGCCTCAGAGGAACAAGGCAGCCTGCATCAAAAATGCTGTTGTAGTTCGGCAGGAAGGGATATATAGCAGGCAGAGGATTTGGGGCGAAGTCTATAAATGTACCCAGGTTAATTCTGTAATCTAGGCGTGCAATGACAGAAAGGCTCTTTTCTTGCTTGAAAGTTGATAAAAGTGAAAACAACTATCTAAGGTTCTACCATTTTTCAGAAAGACTGAGATTATTTTATGCCAGACAGTGCAAGGCCTAATGCAGGTATTGCTTCCTCCATAATAAGGGCACTTGATCTTTTTATATTAACATGTATCAGTCAAGCATACCTAATCATTTTCCCTAAAAGCAAGAGAAAAAAATACCATACTGGCCTGGGAGTGGATAGGACATCATTCCCCCAAGGAGACTACTTTTTAACTAAAGTAGGAAAGTTCCCCAAACTGGAGTATGTTTTTGTAGATGACGAGCTGCAACTTTAGCACTAGATTTGATGGTAGACCCTTTTAGAAAGGGAATATCTTTTCATGTGCACTTAATAAGACAGTTTTTTGGGGTTTTTTTTTGGTTTTTTTGTTTTGTCTTGTTTTTTTTTTTCAAATGCTTTTTTGTTCCAAGCCTGCAGAGCTCTAGTTGCTGTTTGTTGAAATACCTCATGGACCATATGACTGTCAGTATTCCATCTCCAAATTAGCAATGGCATTACATAAAACGTTTTCTCAGTAAAGCTTTTTATTGTGTGTGTGCAGAGTCATGACAAGATGGTTTTAGTTTGTAGTTAAGTAACACCGTATGTCATATTGTCTTAATGACTCTGTGAAGTAGATGGGACCCTGGCAGCAGTTACAACAACTATCTCACAATGTCGAGAAATAGTCTGAGAGCGTCATGACGAATGCCAGCATAGGGAAGAAGAGGCAGGGTAGTACATGCAGGCTTTCTGATCTCCAGCCTGTTTCTTTGTGTGGATAAATGTCTTGTTCACACATATGCACAGGGTCAATACTGCACTGCAGCAGCTTGCTGATGAATTTCAGGAGAGGCATCGTATATCTTTTCACGCATTAAGAGTACTTAAGGACTTACTTCTTTTCATTGGTATATTGTCTGCAAAAACAACGGCAGCCTATTGCATTACAGGGATGGTCACACAAATCATTTACAGATCAGAGAAAAAACATTTCGTGTTGCAAATCTTAACCCATAAATGGGAGATCCGGCAGCTGGGTGAGGACGGCTTAGCTGTGTCACCCGATGTCAGGCAGCTGGGAAGCCGGCATGACACTCAACGCATCTTTTGCCCTCCCCTTTCAGGTTACTTTGACGCTCATTCCCTGGCCATGGATTTCATGAGCATTGGCTTCCGGGAGTGCCTGACAGAAGTGGCGAGGTACCTGACTTCGGTGGAAGGTCTCGACACGTCCGACCCCCTGCGTGTTAGGCTCGTGTCTCACCTGAGCACTTGTGCCTCTCAGAGGGAAGCTGC